TTTTCAGCTTCTTGTGTTTTCTCTCTGCGGTCAGAGCAATGAGCTGGACTTCATAAATCAAACGGGTTTCCTTTCAAGGTACACGGGTCGACGGGGCACGTGTGTGTGTTGAGGGGGGTTCTGTTGCAGCACCAAACCGCTGGCTACACAAACATTGGACGCACTGGCTGACAACGCATGCCTGTGCGCACCTTTGAGCTGCGAAAAGACTGAGGCTGTGTTTAAAAGATAATAGACAAAAATCTGCTAACGCTATTTATTAAAGTATGGGGAAATGTTACAGAGAGAGACCTAACCTGCACTGTTGGGCAACGGTTCTGTGCAAAAAACCTCAATAAACTGCAGAAAATGTGAACAATTACGTGCTTTTGCTCAGATTTGCAGAAATTACTTCTTTTTTTTTTTTCAAACCGTTAAAAAAAAAAAAAGTTAAATGTGAGACCAGCCGGGTCTGTATGCAGCAAGAAGCACCCATAAAAGCAGATAAAGACTTTAAAATAAAACCTGCAAATTAAGGCGTCAACGTGAGTAAAGAAGGTTCTGTTTTTTGCACATGAGCTCTGCAAAAAAACAAAGCCAAAACAAAGCAGAATACTAAAAGTAAAAGCAGGCGACTGCATGAACAAGCATGCAGAAGTTTTGTGAAGAAGTTGGAGTTATTAAAGCTAAAAAAGGTAAAAAGAGCTAAACGCTAGTAGTATTAGCAGTAGCAGAATTAGCATTAACAGCAGAAGAATTAGCATTAGCCAAATTAGCATTAGTACAATGGTTTTATTAATTTTTTTATTTAACCTTTATATAAACAGGTAGTCTCGTTGAGTCATGAGGACTCATTTTCAAGAGACCTGTTTTAGACAGACAACAATAAACAGCAATTAAAATAAAAATAGTGTTATAAAAACACTGTTGCCGTTAGCAGCATGGTCTTGTTAGCAGCATGGTTCAGTTAGCAGTGTGGTTCTGTCAGCAGCATGGTCCAGTTAGCAGTGTGGTTCTGTTAGCAGCGTGGTTCTGTTAGCAGCGTGGTTCTGTTAACAGTGTGGTCCTATTAACTGTGTGGTTCTGTTAGCAGTGTGGTCCTGTTAGCAGCATGGTCCTGTAAGCAGGGTGTTCCTGTTAACAGTGTGGTTCTGTTAGCAAAATGGTCCTGTAAACAGTGTGGTCCTGTTAGCAGCATGGTCCTGTTAGCAGTGTGGTTCTGTTGGCAGTGTGGTCCTGTTAACAGTGTGGTTCTGTTAGCAGTGTGATTCTGTTAGTAGCGTTGTCCTGCTAACAGTGTGGTTCTGTTAGCAGCATAGTCCAGTTAACAGTGTGGCACTGTTAACAGTATGGCCCTGTTAACAGTGTTGTTCTGTTAGCAGTGTGGCACTGTTAGCAGCGTGGCACTGTTAGCAGTATGGTCCTGTTAATAGTGTGGTTCTGTTAGCAGTGTGGTTCTGTTAGCAGTGTGGCACTGTTAGCAGTGTGGCACTGTTAGCAGTGTGGCACTCACAGAACCACACTGTTAACAGGACCACGCTGCTAACAGTGCCACACTGTTAACAAGACCCCGCTGCTAACAGAACTGCACTGTTAACAGTACCACACTGCTAAAAGAACCACACTGCTAACAGAACCACACTGTATACAGGACCATGTTGCTAACAGAACCACAATGTTAACTGGATCATGCTGCTAACAGAACCACACTGTTAGCAGTGTGGTTCTGTTAGCAGCATGGTCCTGTTAACAGTGTGGTTCTGTTAGCAGTGTGGTACTGTTAACAGTGTAGTTATGTTAGCAGTGTGGCTCTGTTAACAGTGTGGTTCTGTTAGCAGTGTGGTACTGTTAATAGTGTGGTCTTGTTAGCAGTGTGGTTCTGTTAGCAGTGTGGTACTGTTAACAGTGTAGTTCTGTTAGCAGAATTACAACTGTATAATTAGCAATAGCAGCATTAGCACTAGTAGAGTGAGTTTACAGTAGTTATAATTGGCATTAGCAGTAGTAAAATTAACAGTACCTGAATTAGCATTTGCAGAATGAGCAAGAGTAGAATTAGCATTAAGTAATGTAGTATTAGCAGTAACAGATTAGCATTAGTATTTGTAGAAGAATGCTGAAGCATATTTCTAAGAGAACAGAGTTTTTGAAGGATTTGGAGAGATCTTAATGTATTTCTATAATGATTTTTAAAATTTATTTAATATTTTGAGAAGCATAAACTTTACAAAAACTAATAGTCATAGCACCTATTTATGGTTTTATATATGAATGGCTAAAGTAACATGAAGTAGGGAGGACCTATAAATTGCAAAATTTGTAGGCTAAAATAATAAAGAGAAATAGGATCACTATAAACTTTTTTTTTTTTTTTCTTTACAGGGGAAATTGGGAGTCAAATAAATTCCACTCGAGGCCACATCAATGCTGAGGTCATAAAGTATTTTGACTGTCCAAAAGGCGACTGTTAACTCCGGTGCTAAAAACAGTAAACATCAGGACATGCTTGACCTGGGCTCTAACTAAATACGACTTTTTGGTTGTTTTTCCTCCCTGAAAACATGATGTAAAACAGAGGACAGAGTGTTTTAATTAAGAGTGACCGCGGTGCGTTCATTTTTAGAACTTAGGGGTTGCCCTCTTTTACGCAGAAGCTGCCCACAGTGAAGCTCTGAGACTCCAGACTCCGGCTGGTCACCTCGCTCAGACTCCAGTGTGTCAACAAGCCGCAGGGACTGAGAATCCGCTGGAGAAAGAGTTGAGCAAACAGGCTGCTTTTGTAATCCAAAGAGCTGCTCCACAAGAGCAACATTTTTTTTAAATTAAAATCCACCTTACACTAGAAAAAAATGAATTTGAACTGCATTAAATACTACCCATAAATGTTATATTTTAATCAAGTATTTTAGCTACCGTTTTCCAAAAAATGGTCAAAATTGAGCAATTGAAATCTAATAAATTATATTAAAATCTTAACGGTTAAGGACTCCGTGAAAACCCAACCACATGGTTACTTTGGCCGAAGTATAAACAATTTCCTGCTGTGACCTCCTACGCCCGCGACGTGGTATGTGTTAACGAACTGTTAATAGTGCTAATGCTATTTTGTATGTATTTTATTTTATTATGTACACACATTTGAATAAATACATTAAAAAAATTGTATATCAAATCATATTAAAAAAAAATGTTTAAAATTACTTATAACTTAACTAAATAAACAAATAATAAATACAGTTCCAGTCTAAACACTGCTAGGTTCTTTTGAGAACTCGGTTGTGTCGGGTTGGTTGGACCAAATATTGGCTCGAACAGACTCAGTTTGGTCGGAAATGAACCGTGTCATTCTACACAGTTCATCATTAGTCCATCAACTAACTGTACTTTGTTTCATGGTGCTATGTCCTACTCTAGTTTAGTTCACGGTATATGTCCTACTGTATATGTAATATTGTAGTTTAGTTCATGGTGCCAATTTCCTAATGTAGTTTTGTTTATGGTACTAATGTCCTACTGCAGTTTAGTTTATGGTACTAATGTCCTACTCTAGTTTCATGGTACTAGGTCTTAATGTATAGTTTCATGATACTAATGTCCTACTGTAGTTTCTTTAATGGTACCAATGTCCTACTCTAGTTTATGGTATCAATGTCTTACTCTAGTTTAGTTCGGGGTACTAATGTCCTACCGTTGTTTAGTTCAGGGTACTAATGCCCTAATTTAGTTCAGGGTACTAATGTCCTACTGTAGTTTATTTAGTGGTATCAATGCCCTACTCTAGTTTAGTTTATGGTATCAATGTCCTACTCCAGTTTAGTTCGGGGTACTAATGTCCTACCGTAGTTTAGTTTATGGTACTAATGTCCTACCATAGTTTAGTTCATGGTA